AGTTCAATTAATTGCATTAAATTTAAACAATAATAGATTTATTTAATTGTGAATAACATGCTGTTTGTCTGAAAAGATTATATTCAGTTTGCACTAAAGTATATTCTTTTAAAGTATGCTATTCATATTATTATTATTATATTATTAAAATGCATAAATCTGGGCCTTCATTGCGTTACCAATAAACCAGCCGCTTCACAAACAACTTTACTTGATCTCAAGCAAGGTTTGTATGATAAGGGCCTTTTGTATTAATGTTTGCATTAATGTCTGTTATGGCTCATTCATAATGACCTCAGATGAGGAATAAACAATATGAATGTGAATGATTATATCTGTGTGTGTGTGTGTGTGTTCGTGTGTGTGTTCACAGAAACAGCTTTGATCTGAGAGGAACAGAAGAATCAGCGTCACCACAAACACACACGACATGAACGCTCTCGAGTCACTTACCAATAAACATTTTCCCATAAAGTTCTGCCAGCACACACACACACACACACACACACACACACACACACACACACACACACATTCACAACACACACAGACACAGATATTGAGAGTGTTTCCTGCCGCCGGAAACTCATATATACTGATATCTATACGTCTAAAGTGTCTTAAACATTTGCAAGCTTGAGTGGCTTCAGTTGAACAAGATGTTTGTGCTCTTTATAAATGAAATTAATCAGATTTAAAAAAAAATCTTATCTATCTATCTATCTATCTATCTATCTCTCTGTCTATATATCTATCTCTCTGTCTATCTCTCTGTCTATCTCTCTGTCTATCAATTCAATTCAATTCAATTCAAATTGCTTTATTGGCATGACTGTATATATTACAATATTGCCAAAGCTTGGAATACATAGGAAAATTATAAAGACATCAAAATACTTGAATATTATAACAAATCTCTCTTATAACATAAATTAAATTTAAATGTACAAATTAAATTAATTGTACAAGTGAAACAGTGTAACAGAATAGAATATCTGTGAACATTTTGATACCACAGTGTTTTAACATACATAAACACACACACATTACTGAAGTCACTGTGGTGGGCAGTAGGGAAACACCCTGAGGTCACACACACACACACACACACACACACACACACACACATTCACCTGCTGTCTCTCAGGCTGTGGCACACCACACACGTATCTGGCAGCCAGTGTTGCGGTCTGTCCCTCTCCTAGTAAGATCTTTATCTGTTCTACTTCATTCATGGCTGTAAAGTTCTGTATTACGTTATTAAGTTTGTTAAAGTAGAGTCTCTGACTGAGCTGTATCTGTGACAGTGAAGGAGGAAGTGTGTCTCGTCTCGACCTCTCCTGTCCTACACTGAACACACACCCTTTGCTCTCGGGGTAACCAGCTCTTTCTGTGTCTGCCGGTCTCGATGGCGAGACTGTGTTCACTCAGCCTGTACTTGCTCAGGATCACACACACACACACACACACACACACACTCAGCCTGTACTTGCTCAGGATCCGTCTCTGCTTTGTGTCTCTCACACTCTGGAGATATTCTTCCATTTCATATTTGATTTCAGATTTCGATAGAATTGTAATTTACTTTGTGTTTTGGTTTCCTGATCCCAATGTTCCAAATATTTATTTTTAGACTGTTGATAATTTGGTTTATTCTGATGTGTGTGTGAGAGCAGAGCTGGTCTGAGACTGGTTAGAGTTAGTAGGGTTAGTCGGGTTAGTGAGTCTCAGGACCAGCTGACTGAGGAGACTCTTTTCGGGGTTCAGTTCTTGGGTTTGCAGTGCTTTAAAATGTAGCGATTCTGTGGGACTTGATTTTAGATGCATCCAGAATTTGAGGGATCTTTTTTGCATATTAATAATCAATGGGAATCGGCCTAATTCTGCCCTACATGCATTATTGGGTGTTTTTCTTTGTAGTTTTAGTATCATTTTGCAGAATTCTGTGTGTAGGGCTTCTGTTGGATGTCTGTCCCATTAGTGTAGCTCTGATCACTGAGTGGACCCCAAACCTCACTTCCATACAGCGCAATGGGCTGGATTACACTATCAAGATTTTACACCAGATTGGAATCGGTAATTCAGTGTTTTGGAATTTCTTCTTAATTGCATATAGAGCTCTTCGAGCTTATCTTTAAGAGCATTCACTGCCATACTGAAACTCCCCGATGCAGTGATGACCAGGCCGAGGTAAGTGTACTGCATCGTGTGCTCTAGGCCGGTGCTGCCTAGGACTGAACTGGTATCTGTGTTCCTGACATCTGGGCTTCTTCTGAAAGACCATAATGTTGGTCTTTGTGAGGTTGACTGCCAGGGCCCCAGTTCTGGCAGTAGTTGTGCAGCAGGTCCAGGTGCTGCTGTAGTCCCTGTGCAGTGGTGACAGCAGCACCAGGTCGTCTGCGTACAGCAAGAGCTTGATGCTCCTGTCCTGTAGAGTGAGTCCAGGGCCTGTAGACTGCTCCAACTGCACCGCTAGTTCATTAATGTAGATGTTGAACAGCGTTGGACTCAGGCTACAGCCCTGCCGCACTCCTCTTTTCTGGGTGAAGAATTCTGTATGTTTGTTGCAATTCGTATTGCACATTTGTTGTTCGAATACATTGATTTTATAATGTCATAGACTTTACCCCCTACACCACTTTGTAAAAGTTTATAATATAATCCGTTGTGCCAAATAGAATCAAATGCTTTTTTGAAATCGACAAAGCATGCAAATATTTTTCCATTTTTGGTCTGTTTTACGTGTTTATCGATTAGGGTGTGTAGGGTGTAAATGTGGTCGGTAGTTCTGTGATTTGGAACGAAGCCAATCTGACTCGAGCTCAGGACATTGTGTTCGTTAAGGAAGCTTACAATTCTATTGTTTAAAATACTGCTAAATAACTTCCCCAGATTACTGCTCACACAAATGCCTCTGAAATTATTAGGGTCCAATTTATTTCCACTCTTATGGATTGGGGTAATGAGTCCTTGGCTCCAGATGTCAGGAAAACAGCCTGAACTGAGTACGGTGTTGAACAGTTTGAGCAGCGCCGCCTGCAGCTCCGGTGTGCTGTGTTTCAGCAGCTCCGGTGTGTGTGTTTCAGCAGCTCCGGTGTGTGTGTTTCAGCAGCTCCGGTGTGTGTGTTTCAGCAGCTCCGGTGTGTGTGTTTCAGCATCTCTCCTAGAATGCTGTCAGGACCACAAGATTTATTACCTTTTTGGCTTTTGAGTTTGTTTGCCAATTCTTCATGTGTAATTGGGAAGTCAAGTGGATTTTGATTATTTTTAATTGTCTCTTCATAAGTTTGTAGATTTTGTTTGGTCAGATTATAATTATCATTGAGTTGGTTTGATGGGATTTCTTTATATAAGTTTTCAAAATGATTTGTCCAAATTTCTCCGTCTTGTATTGGTAGGTCTTGTGGTTTTGCCGTGCTCAGATTATTCCACATATCCCAGAACTGATTATGATTTATTGAATTTTCTAATTCTTGTATACTTTTGGTCAGATGGTGTTGCTTCTTTGCTCTAATTTTGTCTTTATATATTTTTAGTTTTGAAAAGTATTCAGTTCTTATGTCAGTGTTGTTTGGTTCTTTATGTTTCAGATTTGATAATTTTCTAAGTTGTTTTCTTAATGTTTTGCAGTCTGAGTCAAACCATTTTGCATCTTTTGGAGTATTTTTTGTGTATTTTTTGCCTTTCTTTTTCAATTCACTTTTCTGTGCTGCTTTTTTAAATATGTTATTGATTTCATTTGTAGCCGAATTAACACCATCTTTAGTTGTTTCGAATTTCTTATTAATAAATGTATTTATTAGATTTTTTATTTCTTCAGAACTGAGGGCTTGGACAAACTTGTCTGCGCTGTCCGTAGCCCATCTGTACCTCTGCTGGACCTGATACATTCGGCAGGTTTCCAGTCGGTTTTGTTCTGGTGTGTGATGTGTTTTGATATAGATGTTAGTTTGGTTATGGTCAGAAAGCGGAGTTTGCTGTTTGACAGTGAATGCATTGAAGGAGGATGGGTCCATGTCAGTGATGACATAGTCAACTACACTAGCTCCAAGACCTGAACAACACGTGAACCTCCCTAAAGAGTCCCCTCGGATCCGGCCGTTCAGGATGTACAGGCCTGAGGCTCGGCAGAGCTGCACTAACTCTCTACCGGTTTTATTTACTGTCTGGTCAAGGTTGTTTCTCGGTGGAAGTTTTCTTGTGATACTTGGGGGGTTTGGGCCAAAGACATATTCATTACCCTTTGGATCTATGTCATCGGGTTCAGATCCAGTTCTTGCATTAAAGTCTCCACACAGCAGCACATTCCCCTGGGCCTGGAAATGGCTGATTTCTGTGTGGATGTTGTTGAGGTATTCCTCCTCATGGTAAGGGGATTCCGCTGGGGGAATGTAGATGGCACAGAGATATGTGTCTCTAATAGAAATGCCAATTTGGTTTATTTTTAACCAGCAATGAAATTTTCCAACTGAGATAATTGAAATGTGTTTGGCCAGATGCTCCCTGTACCACACTAGAATTCCTCCCGAGTCTCGTCCACGGTGGACTGTACTTATTTTGACTGAGGGCACAATCACTTCATAGTAGCCTGAGGGACAGTAGGTGAGCGCATCATTTCGACACCAGGTTTCAGTGAGGATTATGATGTCAACATCTTCGATATGTTTTAGAAATTCTGGGTCTGTACTTTTAGAACCAAACGTTGAAGAGTGAAGACCCTGAATATTCCAGCAACTTATTTGAAATGAACACATTCGAATTCCAAAAGATAAACCTATTTGGTGAGACAGAGAGAAGATAATGTGTACATGTGGAAATGTACATGGCAAACAATTTACATTAGTGCAAAATTACATATATATATATACATATATATACATACATATACATATATATATATATATCCATACACATGTATATACATATAATATACATACACATATATAAATGCATACATACATACACATACAGTATATAGTGTTTTTTTTTTTTTTTTTTTTTTTTTTTTTTTTTTTAGTAGAGCACTGTGTGTGTTCTTATCTGTTCAGGAGCTGGTTGCACAGTGTGTGCAGCATCTCTCTGATCTGGCTCAGTTCGCTGGCAGGTGTGGAGGTGGAGGTGGAGGGTGGAGCGGGAGGCCGGGCTAAAGCTTCAGCGTAGCTCTGTGCTCTCGGGTGGAGGGATTTCTCTGGGTGTGGGGGGGGGTTTGGTTTCTTCTTCCTGACGGGGGTTTGATGGCCGGCAGGTGAACGTGGAGTTGGTGACTGCAGGTTTGCAGGTGTGTAGTGAGCCATAGGTGGGTGTGGACGTGGTGGATGATGTGGGATGCTTGTCCAGCTGATGTCTCTCCTCATCGGGGTCGGGGGGGTGTGTCTGGGCATGTAGGGGTGATTCCTCGTCGGGGTCGGGGGGGTGTGTCTGGGCATGTAGGGGTGATTCCTCATCGGGGTCGGGGGGGGGTGTCTGGGCATGTAGGGGTGATTCCTCGCCGAGGTCGGGGGGGTGTGTCTGGGCATGTAGGGGTGAATGGGCCGGTAGTGTTCTGGAGTCGGTAGCAGATGTCTCGGTGACGACGGGGTGCGGCCCAGGGCTGCATCTTTAAGGGCCCTTGCAAAAGTGCGCACTGCATCTCTGTGCAGGTGGAGTCCGTCGTACAGGTGGTGGAGGCCGATGTGGTGGTGGTGGACCAGGTGCACGTTTGGAAGTGTAGAACATCTACGGGAAATTTCAGTGTTAATGTTGTGGATGATGTGTGG